GACTGCTAACCAGAAGGCTGGCAGTTCAAACCCACCAGCCACTCCTCAGAAGGAAGATGGGGCAATCTACTTCCGTAGTGATACTGCCTCAGGAACCCAAGGAGGGGTTGCTATGAGTTGGGTCCGATTCCATGGCACATAACAACAACAACAACAGGCTGTACCTCTAGTAATCTTGGGCATTAAACTATACCCTCTCCTCTCTTATTGACATGGTTAGGTTCCAATTACCCAGTTGTTATGTGAAAGTTATCATTATGCAAAAATGAGGGATAACCATATTGGATCACAAGATGAGGGATGACTGTATTATATAACTACCAAATTACATTATTGCATAACCACCACATTACATCATTACATAACTTCCAAATTACATCATTACATAATTGCCAAATTACCTCATTACATAACTGCTCAATCACTGAGAATCATGACCCACCCAAATTGACACATAATCTTAACCATAAATGCCAGGATTACTTTTACTTCATAACTCAGCATTCATTATGGGCAGATGTGCATTGTTAATGTGCAAAATAGTTGGATAGTAAATTGTTTACTATGGTTGTAAATACTAAATGTCAGATAGTGAGAGTCAATAAGTGAGGAGTAAGTGTACTGTGATAAATAATGTAAAACATTCTAATATTTGGATATGTTCCTCTTACATTCATAATGCTAGTATTAATCTTATTTGATGGTTCTGTTGAAAAGGACCATGTAGTTATATTAGTCTATTTGGTTTATTCTTTATTATACTTAGAAAATGAATGCCAATGAGAAGCAGTAGATAATAATGAAAATTACACGAGCTTTAGAGTCTAACAGTTCTGTGCTTGAATCATAGCTCCATTACTAATTTAATATGTAGATATAATTGTGTAGTTTGGTTTCCTCAGGGAACTAAAAGGTATATGTATAATTAAATCATTTATAAAATCTACCTCATCACTTTCAATTGTCTAGATTTTAAAAAGCAGTAACTATTGATTTTTAGTGTAACTTTTACAAATAATATATTAAAAAAGTACCTGATTATTTGTATTAAAAACCCCAAAGAAATTCCTGACCATTATTCTTTTGCTCCTTTTTACCCTACCGAAATTGAAAGTAGTCATATCTAAATACCTCCTTCCTTGTATCTCCATTGTACTATTAGAGTAATCCTTACATAATCAGTACATATCTATTGTGTGCATAACATTGTATTAAAGCAATGGGACTATATAAAAATGAAATAAGCCTAATTTGCTACCTATAAAGAATTTATAATCTGTAAGGAACACAGACATAAAAACAACTTAATTGTATAAATCAGAATGATATAAGTAACATAAAACCACTGCTATCGAGTCCGTTTTGACTAATAGTGACCCTGTAGGGCAGAGTATAACAGCCCCATAGGGTTTCTAAGGCTAGAAATCTTTATAGAAGCAGACTGCTCCATCTTTCTCCCATGGAGCATGGAGCTGCTAGTGGGTTCAAACCGCTAACCTTTAGGTTAGTAGCCGAGTGTTTTAACCACTGTACCACCAGAGTTCCTTGACAAGTACTATAAGAGAGGTATAAACAAAATGCAATGGTATCTCAAAAGTAGTAGCAATTAATTCTAATTAAAAAGAGGTTGAGCTGTTGTAAGGAAATGAGAAAAGGGGAAGATCCTGGAAAGCTTATTAGAGGAGATGGTATTTCTGTTGAGTTTTAAGGAATTAGTTTATTTTCAGTACGTGGTAGAAAAGTCATTCAGGGTGTGAGGAATTGCAGTAAGATGTGATCCTTCATGGATCAGGAAAATGTTTGTGGTAAAATATCTGTGTAAAGCCTCGTGCAAAGTTGATTATATTCTGGGAAGAGGTTTGTAGCCATTTTCATCACTGGATTTAACACTGGATTTAGTTTTGAGATAATGGTATCCAGTAATGGACTATGTGAGTAAGCAATTATTTGTTTTACAGTGCTTCATGATATCTAAACAGATGCATTAATTAAAACATATAGTAAACTTTTTCTCTAAGATTGTTTTATTACTACTTTTTCATTTCTAATTAGCCTTTCAGACTGAAGGGAAGTTATATTTAATATTGGATTTTCTCAGGGGAGGAGATGTCTTCACAAGATTATCTAAAGAGGTGAGTATCTGTGTATAAATTTTTACTGTATTTTATTTAAAGAGAACTAAGAAAAATCATTTTTGTTCTTTTGCTAATTATTCTTTTCTTATAGAAATTTTACATGGTAATTATACTGCTTGTTTTACTGCATAGTGTCTAGTGGATGTGATAGTTAATGTAATTCTTTTAGGCACAAGAACAATAAAAATAACTGGATAAAGTAGATAGGAGCAAGCCTAAGACTTTGGCTACTCAAGCCACCTAAATGTCTCTGGGAGTAGTGTTTAATTTATCCATTTTTAAATCAAACTTTATGGAGTTATTATTGGCCTACAGTAACCTGTGTGTATTAAAGTGTGCAATTTGATACATTTTGACATTTGTATATATGCCCATGAAATCATGATCACAGTAAAAATAATGAACATATCTATTACCCTCAAAAAGTTTTCTTGTGCCCCTTTGTAGTCTCTTCTCTTACCCCACCCCCAGTGAATCTGCTTTCTGTCACTGTTTAATTTGTATTTTCCAGCACTTTATATAAATGAAATCATGCAGTGTTTACTCTTTTTTTTTCACTTGGATTCATTAATGAAGCATAATTATTTTTAAATTCATCCATGCTGTTACATGTATCAATAGTTTATTCCTTTTTATTGCTGAGTTGTATTACACTGTATGGATGTGCCACACTTTGTTTATTCACTTGATGATAGATATTTGGGTTGTTTGAAGTTTTGAATATTACCAGTAAAGCTGCTATTAACATTCCTGTACAAGTCGTTGTATGGATATATGTTTTCACTTCTCATAGGCAAATACTTATGAGTATAATGATTGGGTCATATGCTTTAACTTTTAAAGACACTGCTATTTCATAAAGTGGTTATACAATTTTCCCATCCATATCAGCAGTGTATGAGAGATCCAGTTGTTCCACATCCTTGCCAACACCTGGTGTGGTCAGTCTTTCTTTAATTTTGGATATTCTAATAAGTGTGTAGTGGCATTTTATTGTGGTTTTAAATTACATTATCTTAAAAGGTCTCTTCGGAAGAAAGATTGGGCAATCAATTTCCATAGTGATACTGCCTCAGAAACCCAAGGAGGGGTCGCTATGAGTTGGGTCTGACTTGATGGCACATAACAATAACAACAAAGGGTCTCTATGAGTTGGAATCAACTTGATGGCAGTGGGTTGTTGTTGTTGAGTGACTAATGATATTGAACATGTTTTCATTTGTTTATTTACCATCTATACAACTTTTTTGATTAAGTGTTCAAATCCTTTGCCCATTTTTATTAGGTTGTTTTCTTATTATTATGTTTTGAGAGTTCTTTATATATTTTAGATATAAGTCCTTTATCATATATGTTGTTGGCAAATATTTTCTTCTAGTCTGTGCCTTATTTTTGGAGCAGAAGTTCTTAATTATACTGAAATATAATTTATATCTTTTCCTTTTATGTATTGTGCTTTTGGTGTCTTAATTAAGGAATATTTTGCCAATCCCAGGTCACAAGGATATTCCCCTTTGTTTCCTAGAGATTTTTATGGTTTCATGTTTTACACTTCAGTTTATGGGCCATTTTGAATTCATTTTTAATATGATGCTAGTGCCTAAGGCATTTGACTGCTAACCAGAAGACTGGCGGTTCAAACCCACCAGCCACTCCTCGGAAGGAAGGTTGCACACTCTACTTCTGTAGTGATGATACTGCCTCAGAAACCCAAGGGAGGGATCGCTATGAGTTGGATCCGACTCGAAGGCAATGGGTTCAATGGGTTAGATGTGTATTGAAGTCTATTTGGAATATGGATATCAAATTGTTTTAGTGCCATCATTTGAGCGGACTATCCTTCTTCCAATGAATTACCTTACATTTTTGTTGAAAATCAATTGAAATCTATGTGTGAGTCTATTTTTAGAGTCTGTATTCTGTGGCATTGATCTATTTGTCTGTCTTCAGTCTAATACCACACTGTGTTGATTATTAAAACTTTATCATATGTATTGAAATCAGGAGGTGGAAATCCTTGAGCCTTGTTTTTTTTTTCAAAATTGTTTTGTCTCTTGGTCCTTTGCATTTCCATATCAATTTTAGAATCAGCTTTTCACTTTCTAGAAAAAAAAAAAAACCTGCTGAGGTTTTTATTGGGATTGCATTAAATCTGTAGATAATTTTGCAGTGAATTGACATTGTGTAATATGACTTTTCCAATTTATGAACATGGCATCTTTTCCACTGATTTAGGTCTTCTTTAATTTCTTGCAGCAACATTACACAGGTCTTGCACATCACATGTACGATTTGTCTCTAAACATTTCATATTTTTTAGTGCTATTATAAGTTAAATTGATTTCTTAATTTCAGTTTCAAATTGAATGGGATATAATTTCTTTTTGTACATTGATGTATACCATAACCAACTTACACTTAGTACTTTTAATAGCTGTTTTTTAGAGTCCATAGGCTTTTCTACAATGACAATTATGTTGTCTGTGATTAAAGACTTTTATTTCTTCATTTCCATTATGGAATGTAATCAGCTTTCCTTAAGGCCAACTGATTTATTCTCATGTAACTACTCCATAACAGCAAGTAGACGAGTGTTTTACCACACAATTTAGCACCATAGCTTAGCCACGTTGACACATAAATTTAACCTTCACAGTCTAGCCCTTTCCAACTCAATACCCATGCACATTAGTATCCCTGCCAGAATTATGTCCTAGTTTTCTATTGACTTAAAATTACAGGGCATGGCAGTGATAAGAGATGTTCTAAGGGAACTCTTATACTCTAGACATACTCTTCTTTATCTCCATTGTATAATAACAGTCCAATTTCTCCTTGGTAATGAGGATCATTAATAACAGACAATATAGTAACTCCTTTATTTGCCTGTTCATTTAGAAGCATGAGGAGTCCAAAGTGACCAGATTGTATTCTTAACTTCTGGTTCAGTGGAATCATTGTCTCCTGGTGGCATCATTTTTCCTTTTGGAATTAAGACCTCTATACCAGCAGAGGATAAGGTCTTAGGGACAGAAAACAAACATTTTGCCAGTGGGTCGCTAGGAGTAGTAGAAAGTGTTACCACTTCTATTTCCACCCTTTGATCCTGGACCGATAAATCCTGGCTGTGAGAGAAATAGCACCTAATCTTAGATGCTAATTTAGAGCACATACAGCCTCCTGAAGAACATTACTATATGGCTGGCATAGTAATTTCATTTTCAAAAGGTCATTTCACCATACTGTCAAGCCAGCTGCT